AAAATAGACGAATGTGCGGGAAAGGTCTGTAATTCTTTTTCATTGCCAACAATTATCGAAATATCACAAAAATTGCCGCTTTCGTAGAATTTAGCCAATTTGTTCGAATGTGAAATCAATAAATCGGTCGTCATTGTTATTTTTAATTTTGGTACGATATTTGATGTTGCTGTAAAGTATCAAGTACAACGATAACGATAGCGATAGGCTACTTGGTAATGATCAATAGAAAAAATTGATTGGTTTAATTATGATATAAATTTTTTTCACGTGACTATTTGCATTTATAGTACATGTAGCTATGATCAATGGCCATAATATCTTTAGTGTGTAGTCCTTCACAGCGGTTAGTTTTTAAAAATTCAGGTGCAATTTTTAAAGACCAACTATACAAAAAATTTATCTCTAGATTACTTCTAATTAGGACACCATACTTTATAAAAAATCAACACATGATGGTTTTTGAATGCAATTGTCATGTTAAAAAATCAGAATAACTATAATTAATAATATTTCAATTTTCTAAACTAATAAATATTGTTCCTAATACTGAACTTTTTTTACTAATGTGCAGAATTGTTAACTTGGTAAATTTTGCGTAATCGTGATGCTGTTCATGATCACAATTATCAAAATTCCTCCCGGTCATGTATTGTGAAAATAGAGGTTCAAAGAGTGTCATGTATTTTTTTTCACACCAGTCTTTTTTAAAAGGAGACTAATTACATGATAAAAATTTGCCATTATTGTTTTGTGCTGACTATAAATTATTGATCAGAGCATAGGTTATATCTTACACCGTGAGCAGTCTTACGATATTTTCATCAATTAATACACAAGTTTGCTTAATCGTATATTTTCTAACAACTATAAAATGCTACGCATAAACGAAATTCGCTTGTACGTATTTATTTTTGTTTCTAATGCTAATATATTATATACAGTATTTAACAATACTTGATGAACTTTTATAAATTTTTCATCATAAATGATTCTTTTTGCAAAAAGAAACTTTTAGTATATAGCTAAAGAGTGAAATATCTACTAGCGTGGTAGATACTATGCGCCAGCACTTCCTAACAGTATCTATTTAAAGAACAAATAAAAACAAGCATTTGAATGGTAATGAATCAGGTTGAGTATTCCTCAATCCAAGTGGTCTCGAATGGATATAAAATAATCATAATCGAATAGAAAATCTGGTTGATTTAATTTTGAAAAATATGATAATTACAATATTTTTATTTTAGATCATTAAGAGTTATCAATACCGCATACTCGCCCATCTGCGTGTTATTTCGAGTACGCGAATAGAGTCGATTTTCCGATTCTGATATTTCAAATCAGTCAACTATTACTTTCGTTATTAAACTCATTATATCCCGTTTTTATTTATATATGAATAACGAATTTTTATTGTTCAACGTTCGCACTATATGTAATCGTATTATTTAAATCTAATTATATTTCTTTAAATAAAAAAATAAAATACAACATGTGCAAATGAAATAAATCCAATGCTATATGGGTGCGTTCTTTCGGGACGCACATGGAAGTTATTTCAAAACAGATGGGCCATTTTTAAAGGGCGTGATTTTCGAAAGAGCGTCCATGCCCGTTATTTCGCGAGTATACGGTAAGTTTGCAAGCGATATTTAACAATAGAAACCAATCAAATTATTGCATGCAGTCGAAATACTTTACAATATCATATTGGCCTAGAACCTCTGGGCCGATATATAGTATTCTTATTAGCAAATCGGTGTATAGGACGTTTTTACATATGTCAGTAGAAATTGATTCCTCGATATGACTTCGAAAAAGCCGAGTCCGGCCCGGTGTATATGGCGCCGACGCAGCCGTTGTAAAGAAGTTTGACTGTGAAAATAAAACTTTAAATTAAGGCAAACTCGTTAAAGCGAAGAAACTTTCAGGAACCAAGATATGACAATGATAGGTCGAAGCGTAACATACCTAATATTTCATAAGCTTAAGCGAAGTTTATTTTTGAATGATCCGAAGCCTTCGGTTGATCGAGCTTTGCTGTATCTCAAAATTTTATTATGAAAAATTATCAGCGTCAGTATTGAACATTCAAAGTGAAGTTCAATGAACTTTGTATAATTAGTAAAAACCCATCTAAAGTCAAACCTCGTTAAGCCGAAGTGGTCGGTACGACTAGTAAAAAATTCTGTTTATCTAGTAAATTCAGTTTATCGAGGGAGATTTACTATAACTGTTCCCGGGATTGACTTCGATTTATCGGATTTTTAATTGGTGCTTCGGTTTAATGAGTTTTGGTTTAACTTTTATTTTGAAAGTTAAAAATACGAAATTTATAATTAAAATTATATAAATCTACATGTACCTTTCAAAATAATTACGTATAAAAAAATACGATTTTTTTAACGAAATTTCGGTTATGGTCGCGCATTTATAGAGGGTGCGCATTTAGAGGAGCTTAGGATCAGGCTTGAGAGTAGATATGCAATTATAAAGGGTATCTTTAGGATCCTTTCTCTGAACACGAAATAGTTCGTATGATTCGTTAAATAATAGAAAATAAAAAATAAATATATGTTAAGACCTATCATTAAGTTTTGTCCAACCTCTCTGTCGATAATTTCGAAGTCTACTTCGACGGCGCTTGAGTAACCGCGACAATACTCGCTTTGAAGACATTTTATTGCGACCTCATCACCGATACAAATAAATGACAGTGAAAAGAATATCTAATAAATACATGTACACCCTCTTTAAATGCACGCCCACTAGGGTATACTTAAAGAGGTATCATACTTTGTTTGACACAAAGAACCCTGACGCCCAATGTCATACATATACCTTATAAACTATGTTGCAGCTGCTAAAGACATTGAAGCCCAAATTTGTTCTCTTTATGTTGGCACGTATCGGCATACGTATTAAGAGCCAGTCGTGTTAGTATGCAATTTATTTTCACCCATTCCATAAACAAGCCGAGCATTCGAGTTTGATATAGATGCAAATTATTTGAGAGATTGCCAAAAAGATTAAAGAAAAAAATGAATGTTTATTTCTCTGTGTCATGTAAATACACGTATTTGGAGTTAATGTAAAATTTTAATTCATTTAAATTCTATTTCATTCTACAACATCAAATTTCCAAAGAGTACCATCACTATGTACAGCATAAAAATTCGTTGAAGTAGCAACAGCCGTTATGGTTTTTGACCAATCGTCTTCTTGACCAATCCAATGTTTACCATTTAACGGATTCATTTCATACAGATTATCACCAAATACATAAATATAATCTTTAAAGGCCACCAAAGTGTTCGCTACACCAAAATCATCGCTAAGTTTTTTATGTGTATAATCCTCGAGATTCAATTTATATATTTCGCCGGAAGTCTTCAGCACGTATGCGTAACCGTTGTGAATGACGGCCGATTTCGTGGTGCTCCAGTCTTCTTCATCCACTACAGTCGAACGGCCATCCGGATACAATTCCCAGATTTTATCTGCAAATATGATGAGATAATCTTTATACGCGACAAGAGCATTTATCTGTTTCGTTTCGGTAAAAAACTCATCCAATGCTTCAATGAACCAGTCTTCTAATCGTATTTTAGCGAATGCTCCGGATTTTTTGACTGCATAAAGGTGCTGGCCAAGTGTAGCTGCTGCCATTGTTTCTGTAAAATTTTCCGCCTTTTTCTCAGATGTTCCTTTTGGAGATACTTCGTATAAGGCGTCGGATAATACAAATATATTTTCACCTTTCGCGATAAGTTGGGTAGTTTTATCCCAACCTGTCCCGAGATTTTCCGAAGTAACTGGCATTTTTTAAAGCGTAATGATTTCTAATGTTCTTAATTATTTTTTTTTGAAGATATTAAGATTTTTGAAATTGAACGATGCTTGATATTTAAGCTTTATATGCAGAAATAACTCATTATTATTTCAAGATGACGTAATGTATGAAAGATATCTAAATGTAGTCTAGAAAGATCTATATGCAAATTAAAGCTCTTTTATAAAAGGATTCAGGACTTTGTTTGCTGCTAAAAAAGTATACTAACACTAATATAGTACATTATATGCATTGTTATACACATAAGTACATTATTGAACGTAAAAAGAACGTCAGGTAAGAATCTTGTTTAGTTCTATATTTTAAACATTTAAGATTTATAAAAAGTAAGGATCTGTGTGTAAAGTTTTTCTTGGCACCTATTTTTGGTCAAATAGATAGTGTGACAACACTTGATCTGCAAGAGTTGACACGAGGAAGTAGGTTAAAAGATCTCATATTGAAGAAAAAGAAAATTTCCTTTAGCGTTAAAATTACAATTGATGTCGATCTTCTACTGTGATAAACTTTAGAAGGCTAAGAATTACATGTAGTTGGTGCATAGTACATGTAATTATTTTTTTCCTAAAAGATCATATAAATGGACACCTTTGTGCATGCAATGCGAAAACATTTTGTTTTACAAAGAAAAAATCTTTTCAAACAAGAAAAATATGAGGTAAATCAATTAATTACCTATTCAATTTAGACATATAAAAATGCACCGCCATTTAAAAAGTAAATAGCCAATTTGTAGAAGAAACAAGTTTTCATTATACATGTACATGTATGTGGGTGGTGTGGTTCTAAAACAAAATGAATTATAAAATGCAAAAAAAAAAACAGAATACATGTAGGATAATAACACATGTACTTTTTACATTTGAAACATTGAATACAGATAAAAGAATGATTTAAAAAAGGGTGTAGCTTCCGACGTACATGTTGCCGAGAGATATGAGAGATACTTGCGAAGATATGGTTTAATCCTGAGTCAATATTCTCAAAATAAAATTGTCAACTTTGCGAACATTTTCTTCATTTAGTTTAATTGTTGCTTATTTCATCCATTTAGTGCTGGTCATCTTTTATTAATGAAAATTAGCGTTCGTCGTCTCGAGAACCTTTTTAATTATTGTTAGAAATTAAATTCCATAAAAATATACATACGCACATGTAACCTATCTGAGAAAAGAATAACATTTAGAGATTAAGTTAATGATCTTGTTGTAACACATTTAATATTATTGTTGATGCAACAAATCTTTATTTTAAAACTATTGAGTTTTACAAAGCAATGATTTTTGTCGCGGAATTATTTTTTATTAGTACATGTACAACATGCAAAAAATGTATTTGCAGATTCTAGCGTTTCCTGACTTTCCATGCATGCATTCTAACGTCACAACGCCGGTAATTTGTAGGACTATCGTTATAATGAATTTACTTTTAATGCACAGTCCTCAAAAATTATTATCCGGCTCAAAATAATATGTAGAAATATAAAAATGAAAATTTCAAGCTACAGTCACACTTCCCTAAGTGCACCCCCGGGACCATAATAAAAAATAATGAAAAGCATGCATTTAGAGAGGGTGTGCATTTATAGGGATCATAATATATAGAGCTCTACTTGAGACCAGATTACACCGTGTACTTAGAGAGGAATTATATAGTGGTGCACTTAGGAGAGTGCACTTAGGAAGGTGACACTGTATATACATTTCCATATTTTTTCTAGTAATTATTTCTAAATTCTATATCATTTTAAAGCTCATGAATTATATTTCTGAAAAAAATGATACAAAAATGACAACAATTTAAAATGCAAAAGAACTATTTTTGGTTGTAAAGTAAAAAAAATAAAACACGTGCTTCACGTGAGTTTGAAGTCACGGGTTGTATGAGCTTGGTTTTGAGAAAACGATGATGAAACAGAATACGATATTGTATACAAAGGAAATGATGAGAAAATTAAAAAAGAATGATAAGATTAAAAAAGAGAATGAAGGAATGGCCTAAATTAATATTTAATACTGACAATTAAATTATTTCATATAATAAAATCACGTTTATAGTTGATTTACCTCGGTGTCAATGTTACAGGTTATTGTAAAAATTAGGAAGTTTGAATTATTAAAACTTTTTGAGAACAAGTTAAATAATAACAGAACTGTAGCTTTATAAAGAGCTATCAATCTGTAAAACTATTAAAATTGAATATCTTTTGTTATACAATACTATATATACTAATTCTCAAAATTCAGAGAGACTGTTCTTGTATGGAGATATGATTGTATATAGCTGGAGTATTTTTAATTAAGATCTTTCTCTCCAATATAAAATCAAACTCTTACAAATTATCAAGAGATTTTGAAGAAAAACTGCTCAGCTTTCAGCAATTTATTTTTTATCTTCATTAAAAAAATAATTCTCTCTTAATATTTGAATGAAGTACTGGTTGGTTTGATATGGCAAATAATTTTATTAAGGTGAAAAAAATTCATATCTGAATGACTAGTAATTATAAAAATTGATTTATTTTGGTATGATGTCTGGTACAGTAATTTGACCATTTCGTAATACTATAATTGTTTCTAATATATTTCCTTTGCCCAATGTTCCGAACCAAAATATGAACTAAATTATCGATATATATGCATATATATAGGTGCCCTTGAGCCTTTAATCAAGCCAAGTAACAATAAAGTATAAAGTAATTGAAACAATATTACCTCTTGCTTGTATTATTCAACTTCTGGTTTTGTCCTTTTACCAAAAGAAAGTCGTTAATGTTGATTCCCTTGTGGAATAGTCTAACCGTAAAGAAACCTTATTCGATCATACATCTGGTGACTCTGTGAATTTGACCCGTAAACCTTTAAATCTGTAGTTAAAAATAACCTCCTTTGTTAATCACCCCTATCGAATCACTTTTTAAATACCCTTTTGCCGCCCACAGTAACCGTAGTTACTATATCTTTTAGAAATCAGTAAAGAATCCCTTTACATCAAATAAACTTCAGTATATTCTCACATTAACCTGTTAAACCGTCTACCAATACATGTTAATTATTGTCGATCATTTTATAGGCACGGTTAATTCGGTGACTTAACGTTAATACAACCTCTTGTAATGTTACGGTTTGTACATGCGCATTTACATATATTCGAGAGATTTCCATTTAATCTCTGAAAAGCATCTTATAAAATGGAAGGTTGTTGCTCTAGATGCCATTTTGAACAGAAAGATGAAACTAATAAGTACCGTTTTATCGATGGTGGACAATACCATAATTTTTCGGATTCAATGTATTTTCTCGCAAATGACGATGAAGCAGCTTATCATTTAAGCAGATATCATGATGTAAAAAAATTTTGCTTTAGTTCGTGTTGCATTCTGGAATATATTATAATTGTGATATAATAAATTTTAGCAATTAAAGATATTTGGGGAGGACCGTTTAATTCACCTGTTGAAGAGAGGAGTTCGTGTTATTGATATTGGTGCGTATTAGGTTATGTTCTCTTATAAATATTGAAGTTTAAATATGCTGTTATCTCTTTAATTTTATAAATAATAAAAAAAATGCGGGACTGGAATTTGGATTTTGGTAAACAGACTTTTATCCTATTGTTAGATATATACTAACATGTATTAATCCGTAAAAATAGGATATGGCACAACAATATCCCAATTCAAAATTCGTAGGAATTGATATAACTCCAATACAACCAACAGAAGGTCTTCTTCCAAATGTGAAGTTTATTATTATAATTTGCTAGACGATTACCATATGAAGATTCGTCTTTCAATTTAGTTCACGAACAATTCATGTTTGCCGCTTTTACGGAAATACAATGGAAAGAGAAAGTTATTCCAGAAATGATAAGGTTAGCTCAGCCAGATGGAAGGATTGAGATTCTAGAAGCTGATTGTGGCGAATCTGTGGAATTGATATAAAGAGAATTCAAAAAGCTAGTAAGTAAAGCAATATTTATGTCTTTAATTAATAATAAGATTTATTTAATTTTTATTGTTTAGTCTACAATTTTATGTTATCAAGGGAATGAACCCTATGATTGGAAAAGAAATTCCACACAGTTTTGAAAATACAAACGCGTTTTCAGAAATCAAAACTCAACAAAAAACTATAAATCTTAGTAAAAAATATGGTGAGTCTTCGGAAGAGTAAGTATGTGCCTAACGAATTATCATAAAAATATAAAACTTTCTCTAATATAAATATCTTTTTCCATTACTTCATTTAAAAAGTCTCTAAAATTTTATGTTCGTGGTCTCAATTCTGTTAGAGGCTTTATAGTGACATCGTGCCCGAATCTCATGATGCTCTCGTAGAAACAGTATCTATTGAGGCGGAAAAACATCCTACTTATTTTTAATCAATATCGAATCTGTGCTCATAAGAAGATATAAATCTAATAATTTGTAGCTTATAAATTTCTAGCATCCAAATTTGAATGCTTAAATTTTTTTGACCTACTTTTATATTTATTCAAAATTTTCTTAAGCAATCCCATCATTTCTAACCTAAAATAAAACTATAAGATATGATTAATTAATACAATTTAAAATTTGTTAATTTAATTTATATTTAGTTAAGGACATATGGCTTATTTTACAGTCAATTTTATAAAATTTTTAAAATTTTATGTTTTCAGAGAAAATTTCTTATCGCTAATTAAAAATAAAATTTTATTAATAAATATATAAAACTATTATAATAAAAGTTATTTGTTATAATAAATTCTATAATGAAAAATCATGTTAATTCATGAAAACTTATTTAAATTTACTAAAAATTAGTAAATAACTGCTTATTCACCTGATAAACACTTTACTTAGTTGGTCAAAACATGATTATTAGTTAGAAATTATTGAAATCATCTGGCAAAGTTTTCTATATACAGTGATAATCATAATTAATACAGCAAAAAAATTTTTATCAAATTAAAATATTTTGCAAAAATTATAATATATTTTTTTGTATTTTTAATAATTTTGCTTTTTAATAGCATTATTTTAATCTATTAAAATCTTAAATAAACACTATTATTTTTTATTTTTAGATAAATTTGTATTGTATTATTTATAATTCTCTCATATAAAAATCAAATAATTATAGTCATGTAATATAAAAGATAAGTTATTATATACTATTTACATATTATATAATGTTATAACTTTTTAAATAACAAATTAAAATATAAAAATGTTATATAACTTCAAAAGAATATATAAATTCTTTTTGCTCTTTATAATTAGATATATAACAAAATAAATAATAAAGTTAAAAAATATTAATATTTTAACAGTTTCTCATATTAATAAAAGATAATATAAATAAGATTCTCTTGAAGATATGATAAAGTTTGATTAATTATCTGTTATTAAAAAAATTAAAGATATTTATTAGTAATAAAAATTTAAAAATATATTTAAGAAAAAAAATATAAATATATTAGCATTTATTATTCATTATATATTATAAAATAATAATTTAGCATTAGAAATAAAAAGAAAATAATTTTATTTAAGTTAGAATTTGCATAAAATTATGAAAATTAGACTATTAAAAATTAATTAAAAATTATATATTTTAATAAGTCTAAGTTTAAAATTTTTAGTTCAAATAAAAGTAATATTATTAAAAACATTTAAAAATATTATTAAATTAATTTTATATTAAGTTTATAATAAAGTTTAGAGATGAATCTATGATAATTTGAAGTTATTTTATTATTTAAGATATTATTAACTTTTATAAGTTTAATAATATTATAATTATATTAATAATTACTTTATAAAATTTTTATAAATATTATTAGAAATTAGAAATTTACTATTAGAAATATTATTTTCTAATAAGATAAAATTTCTAAATATATAATAATTTTAATAAAATAATATTTTGAAAATAATTTAGTTCAAGTTCTAAATTAGTTATCATAATTTTCTAATCTAAATTTTATCAAGTATTTATAAAATAAGATTAATTATTATCTTTAATATCTTTCTAATAAATTTTAAATAAGTAAAGCTTATAAAATAAGCTATAATAAATTTAACAAAAAATTAATATTAAAATCTATATTAATTGATATTAAAAAAAATTTATAATATAATAAAAATATAAAATAATTTAAAAGATAATAAGATAAATTAAATTTTATTTAATATAATTTAAGCTTGATTTAGTAATATAAATATTCTTAATAATTATTATTATTATTTTAAAATAATTATTATTTTAATTTGCTAATATTTTTATTAAATATTATATAAAATTATTAAATTATAAGAAACTAAATGATTAATTAATATATAAAATTAAATATATTTATATATATATTAGTAATATCTTTTTTATACTATTATTATTTTACTTATCTAGAATATTAATTTAAAAATTTTAATATAAATCATATAATTAATTATTATTTAATAAATAAATTAATAAGTATACTATAAAAAAATTTTATACAAATAATTCAAATTTATTATTTAATAATTATTTTTAATAATAACTAATCTTTTTTGAAAAGATATAATCAAAATTAATCAAAATTTATTAATTTATATAAAAATTTAATATATTGTTACTGTAGTAACATAAAATTCCTTAATTTCTTAATTTTTTCTTAGTTATGAAATATTATATTTTATTATAATTTCATTTATATTATTATTATTTCTATTTTTCTATATTATTTAATATTATATTTATTATTATATCTTTATTTTTAATACTATATCTTATTTTTGGGATCTATATTTTTATCTTGTAATATGATATTCATGTATATAGTAAGAATAATATAGTGGAAGATTATTTTTAATTTTGGTAGAATAGTTACATTTGGATGATAATCTTAAATATCTTTTCATATTCTTTGATATTCTTTAACTTTCTCTCATGTTCTTTGACATCCTTTGATGTTTTCTCTCATTCTTTCATATTTTTTCATGTCTTTCCACATCTTTTAATATCTTTCACATACTCTGATATTCTTCAATATTCTTTGATATCTTTTAACGTACTTTGATATAATCTATTTATAATTATTTATATTATAGTACTTTAATTATCTCTTGTATATTAGATAGTATTAGCTAGTAATACTATAATAATTT